CACTGCAACACCATGGTCCTACACTGCTGAGTCAAGTCGAGGTGAGTCTGATGAAATTAAACTTTATTGATCATTGCAGCAGCAAACAGTAACAGGGTACAGCAGAGAAAAACAAAATGTAATAAAAAAAAACACAAAATGTAAAAGAAGGAGCTGATCGTGAGTGTCGAAAGGTGGGGAGGGTTTTTATTTCATGCGTCTTTGTGTGTGAAAATAAAAGCTTTAAAAATGAAATCTGAGCAGGCAGAAATCAGCTCTCAGCACCATTGATCGGAGATACAGTTCATGTTAAAGCAATGTGTGTGTGTGTGTGTGTGTGTGTGTGTGTGTGTGGGCAGGTTATTCTAGTACAGCTGCTCTGTGTTTAGGTTTTGAAAGGCGCTGACGTCACTTCCTGTCGCTCCCTACAGAATCAGGATCGTAATTTCATCAAAGTTGTATTTGTCAGAATGGGCAAATTCTATTCTGGATTTACGAAGCTGTTTGAACTCACGCTCTTAGCGTGACGTAATACACAATATAATTATCGGTTAAAATCAAGCAATACGAGTAATAAAATAATGATGTCAGTCTGAAAATGTGGTCTTGTTGTTGTGTTATTGGGAGCCAGAATAGAGGGAGTCATGTCCACTGAGTGAGATCATACAGGTCGGCCAGTCTGGTCCCGCTGGTCAGTGTTTACTTATTCAAGTAACACTGGCGGTCCTGGAGAGTGAGTGACCTGACATGGTGCGTTGGTAAATTCAGTCTGACGCTCTACACTAAAATGAGAGCCCTGTTGGTGGAAGAAACGGAGCGTTATATTTCTACATGAATGAACCAACGGTTAAGTTAATCACACATTCACTCTCAAATTCTTAAATGTGCCATATTTAATTTTTTGCGTGTTAGTCGTTTTTTACTTTCTCGGCTGTTGCTTTCTGTGAAGGACTCGGGACGAATTTTCCGGTAAAATCCAAAGGGTGTGATGTTATGCAGGTTACCGAGTGCCTTGACTCTCTTCAGCTCTTGCTAACACTGCACAATAGTAGCTAACGTTAGATAAGAAATGGAGTCCGCTAACATGCCGGTAAATGAACGACCTCCACCGACCACAACACAGAGTCCACACATGCTGTTTCTGTTATATTTTGCGGCAGAGGTCCAGTGAGACGGACCTTCATTTAGTCCTGGGGTTTGCACCATCTAAACTCAAGATGCTACAGCTCGACTCAGTCACCCAGCCATGCTAGCTCGCTAATTCTTGTCTTATTTGTGGTCTGATAAATATTCAATTAATCAAATTCAGTGCAAAAAATGCAAGCGTAAACACTGACATGTAAAATACTTTGTGATATTGTGATTTTAGCTGGCTAACATTAGCTAACGTTAGCTTGCTTGCTAATGTGGACAAATTGCTAGCTAGCTAACATAGCAAAATACTCCTGGCTAGCTGGTTTGCGAATTACTTTATTAGCTAATGTTACTATTAGCTAGAAACAAGCTTAGTGAAACCTGGGCTAAAGTTAGACAGCTAGCTCTGAAGCTATGCTGCATGGATCTGCGGTTGGTTGGTTGGTTGCTAACGTTAGCTGATAAAGTAATTTGCAAACAGTCAGCTGGTTAGAATCACAGAAATACAGGAACATTATTAAACACACTAAACGTGTGATTGTAATTTATTTGGCAGCACTAACATAAGTCAGGCTCTTGTCCGTCACGTCACTGTTTTGGCCGATGCTTTGGCGCTTGCTCACTGCTACGGAGTGCGAGCGTGAGCAACAGGATGCTGACTGCAGTTCACTTACAGCCAACGGTGTCATCAGTAACAAGGCTTCTCTGAAAGTTGCATTCAGAACGTTTACATATTGTAGTAAACTTCCGTAAAACTTGGCGTAGCCCGGGCTGTTTTTTGCTTAAGTCACTGAAATCAACAGGCCTCTAATTGAGACAGGCCTTTATTTGTCAAAATGTGTAGCCACACGGGGCTAGTAAAAGGGACTTATTGAAGTTTTACGGTACACAGCATTTATCCTTTATGTGTAATTACTTAAAATGTTCCTTTTGGATTTTAAACTCTACGGAATATTAAGATCCTGCAGTTTAAAGTGTTTCTGACAAATATTTTGCATCTGTATCTTTAAATTATTTAATTTATTTTAACATGTAAGTAACAAAAATCCATCTTTATATATTGATCGTTAATAACGTGGCATGTATTTATGTTTTAAGGTAACATGTCATTAATGAAAAGCTTTATATTTTTGTCGGCAACAAAAAACATTCGTAGACGTTTGCTACTTTTTCGTTGTTTTCCATTTACAGGTTTTTTCCCCATTTCACACAAACTGATGAAACATTCAGAATAAAGTCGGTGAGTGAACAGGAGAAGTTATGTAGTTTTCGACACCACAGAGGAAGTCTGTTCTTCAGCGTGTTTGTCAAACGTGTGGCCGACTGAACGTGCAGAAAGGTGTTTGCTGCCCTCTACAGGACAACATGTATAATCTGACATCAAATCCAGAGCATCAGTTAATAAAGTGTGTGCACAAATTAGCTTCAGTTTCCGTAAAATTATAAACAAAACTGATTAAACTATGTATTTTATACACTTATGTTTAACGCTTTAAAAGTTCAGATTCTCTGACCCTGCCCAGGTGAACAGGAAGTGACATGACGCCTGCTGGATCAGGTGGTCGTTGTGATAAAATAACCCTGGACTGAAGCTGCAGAGTGGTGCATGTTGAAAAATAAACGCTTAAATATTCTAAAATGACTCTTTTTTTTTCTGTCTCGGCAAAAACTACATATAGTGCAACTTTAAATTAAGACATTTGTGGACTCTTGGGAGCCTCATGTTGTTATGTGTAAACACAAATACATTATTATCAATATACAACACAAATATTAGAAATATCTTCACCGTCCTCCAGAAACCTCGAACTCCAAACCCCCCCGTAAAGTCAGCAGAGGAGTGATTTAAGTTAACTCAACGTGAAACTGATTTCAAATCGAAAATTCCAAATGACAGAAATTCAATAGTTCCAGCTTCTTAAATGTGAGTCTCAGTCCTGTGACAAGGCCCAAAACTAACCGATTAATCCGTAGATTACCTTTTTGTTTAATCATCTGAACTACAAAACATCCAACCAATATTAATTATTATTAAATTTACAATAATGTAAAACCAAAGAAAGCAACAAATCGGCACGTTTGACAACCTGGAAATATCACGCTTTGGCAGTTTTGCTTAAGAAATTATTTAAAAGTAGGAAGATGTGGCCCTAAAATAACATCACAATATTTCAGGGTATTTTTGCGTTAATATTCTTCACAATATGAGAAATTACTAAAAAAGAATTTTATTGTTAATTAAAGAACATCAGATTGCAACAAAATAAGTGATATAGTTTTACATGTCAATCCAACCCAGTCTCACTTCTAAGTTGTCGAAATCTGGCACTTGGGCAGTGACTTGCGGTGCCAGACACCTACGAAAAAAGCCATCCTTTAATGTTGGCGTGTGTTGGCTGTCATAGTTTAGTGGCGCTCGGCGGCATCAGGGGGAAACACGGCGGGACAAGAGCAAAAGTTAAAGGGCCAGTGTGTAAAATGGGTTGAAAACAGTGACATCAGTGGTCAAATTCTAGATTGCAGGGCTCACTCGCTCACCCCTCCCGTCGGGTAAATGACGGTGGCCTCGTAGGGACAAAAAGCCTTGCGCACGAGTTTTTCAGGAGTAGGTCTATCTAGCGACGAGGTGAATGTTTATTTAGAAATCTAAACCATGTTACGATATTGTAATGAATCCCTCACGAGCAGGAGACCAGAGGAGCGTTCGGGAAAAAGGCCAGTTTATTTGAGCACTCCAAAAACTCCGGTAACACTCCAGGGGGTAAAAGACTCCGTCCCAAACTCTGACTCTTCTAGCGTAACAGACACACTTCATAACTTTACACACATACTCGTTTACCATACTGAGTGGGGAACCCCCTCCCCTCTCTGCTCCACCAATCTCCAGCCCGCACACTGACTGACAGCGTAGCCGGTAAACAGAGCTCAGCTGTTTATTTAGCCTAGCAATATCTCCGGACTATAGTAGCTGCAATGGACGACTTTGAACGCGATTTTGAAGAGTTTCTTGTAGCGGACACAGACCCAGAGCCATACCTGTTTGAGCCGGAGCATACAGATGAGGAACTCCATGTGTTTGATGCTGAGCGGGCGAGAAGAGAGGCTGAATGCACAGAATGGGATTCGGTGCTACTGCTACCATCGTTGGGGAGATATATCATCAGGAGGAAAAGCGCCGCAGAGAGTGCATCACAAGGAGTGAAGTTGCGTCTTCTTTTCTTCGCAGATGACGGTTCGGGTTCATTCTCTCCTGTTGCGTGGTAAGTGTGGTCCATTCGCAAACTTTATAACTAAAAAAACTTTTCACTACTCTCTATCGACGAACTACTGACACTCTCTGCTGTTTCCTCCTCCTTCTTCCTTCCTTCCGCTGTCGTTGGTTCATTTATACACGCGAAACGTGTTCTCTGGCTGGCTGGATTGTCCACTTGGTCTGCCATACATACATGGCGGCGCAAGATGGCGACCTCTCTAAAGCAAGGCCCTTGCTATATATATATATATAAAAGCATAATTATAAGGCTACGAAAACCAAACGAATTTTATTTTATAGTGATTATACACTTATATAAACATATTAATGGGTAGAATATTCAGATTCAGATTCAGATTGACAATAAACCATGCCAAATATTACACACTGGCCCTTTAAGGCCAACTTTACTTGTTACAACTTGTTGACGTTCTGGGGCGCCGTGTCAAGTTCTGCCTGTTACATGCATCATCTTCTTTCAAAGTACACTTCCTGTTTTCACAGAAAATTTAACATTTACATACAGTCTCTTTCAAAATAAAAGCACTACGTTTGTACAACACAAAAAATTATGTTTTTTTCCTTCAACAACAAAAACACGTGGTTAGGTTTTGGAAAAAACAACAGGGTTTGGTTTTAGAATCTTACGGGACGTGAACACCGCTCTCTCAGGTGAAAGTCGGTGTTTGTTGGACCCATCCACCACCGCTCCCGCCCCAGTTGGACTGTCACCACCTTCACATTAGTCCTTGTTCTGCTGTGTTTCCCCCCGACGCTCCCAGGCACTGTTAAACTGTAACAGCAACCAGCTGCATATCATGCCAACGTTAAAGGTCTTTTTTCATCTGTGTCTGACGCCGCAAGTCACTGCCCAAGCATCAGATTTCAACAAGTTCGCAGTGAGACCGGGTTGAATTATAAGACGTTCCTGGGCACAGTGAAGGCAGGACTTCATGAGCAGCACCCATCCAAGAGGAAGCTGCAAAAACCGTGGATACAGCGCCAAAAAACATGCAAACATGGCGAGGCAAAATGCCAAGCTGACAGTTTTCTGCATAGTCTACCTTGAAGTTCACCTCTTGAGTAAATGTACCGAGTTATATTTTAATACCCCCAGAATCTAAAAATAGATTACATACATTTCTAAATATAATGGAAACAGGTGACATCATCTCACCCTCCTGGCTGCAGTGATTTTCTCCACAATAAAACATCAGGATCAATAAATGATTCTTCAACCGAAGCGTCTCGTGCTTTTAAATGTGCAACGGGAGGATCTTCAAAGTGCAGGGTTTCTGAAGGACAGGAGCGACAGGCAATAAATATGTCACACGGTTAAATAGCTAAGAGTTCAGTGGTTATATGACGGGCTAAAAGCAGGCAGGAATGCAGCAGAAATCACGAGCATGATGCAAAAGTCGAATAAATTGAAAACGTTCCTTATCTGTGTGTTTTCAGTGCATTGAGCATATAACAGTATCTGATTGACATTCTCATACATAGTGTTGAGTGACAGTACCTCGGATACATTACAGAGCTTTACATCCATCACTTTAAAAGTCCACACGATGGATAGAGGAGGAGAGGAGGGGAGGAGAGAAGACAAGGAGAGGGGACATAAGAAAAGGAGAAGAAATAAAGAGAGGAGAGGAGACAAGAGGTGTTTTTTATTACGCTAACTCACGCTTCCTCGCGTCCTCTCTCCTCCTGTGACTCTGACATTGTTTCCCCCTCCGCCAGAAACGCACCTCGAGGAGACAAGGAGAGAGGAGGCTCTTGGAAGAGCTTAGAGCGAGGAAACACGGGTGTATCCTACGCATCTCTCTCTCACATCCTCACTGGGAGGTTAGACTTGAGGAGGAGATGCAAGTAAGGAATCGAGGAGACATGTTAGCATAAAGAAAAGCACCCGAGGAGAGGATGGGTGGGAGGAGAGAGAAGGAGATGAGGAGAAGAGGGGGAGAGGAGAGGAGAGGAGAGGAGAGGAGAGGAGACAAAGGAAAACAGCATTTACAAAGAAGTTGTCAGACCAAGGTAACTGAGGAAAGAGTGTTTGGTGGAGGAAGACGAGTAGGAGGAGGAGGAGGAGGAGGAGGAGGGGGAGGGGGAGGAGGAGGATGAGGAGGATGAAGGAGAGCGTGGTTTCAGAGAAATGAGTGTGGTGATAGGGAGGAGAGGAGACAGATCCCTCCATCCTGCCCGGTCAGAGAGCGAAGGATGAAGAGGAGGAAGGGAGGAGGGTGCAGCAGTGTGTGTGTTCGGCGGTGTGTGCAGCCGCTGAACGTGTTTGTTTGAGCGCTGATTGTCTCCGAGCACGTATGACCGGTGTGTGTGCACGTCGCCGGGATGTTTGACCTTGCAGTGGAGGCGCAGACTGTCCCGCCGCTTGGCGCTGTACGGGCAAAGGTCGCAGGTGAACGGGCGCTCCCCCGTGTGCACGCGCACATGCTCCACCAGCTTGTTGGCTGTCCGCGTCAGGTGGCCGCACCGGTCGCACCGGTACTGGTTGCCTTGGCGATGACCCTGGAAGTGAACCAGCAGCTCCTGTTGCCCTGGAAACGACCTCTGGCAGATGCGGCAGCGATGCTCAGAGGTGCTATTTTCCGGCTGGGTTGCCATGGCAACTGACGGAGTGCTGCTGGAGGCGGCGGCAGGAGGGGTGACGGGGCATCTGGGAGTCAGGAGGTGAAGGGAAGGGTTAATGGTGCGCACACACACACACACACACACACACTCGTGAAGTGTGCACACAGACATTTAATATCAAACCAAGATGTAAACCACACACACACACACACACACTCCACAGCGCTGTACCTGTACATCACACTTCACTCCACCAACACTAAATATTCCCTGATGTACTGATCAATTGATCAAATGCTGATATTGGGAATCTGCAAATTCTATCTATCCACATGTCGACTGAATACACAGCTGAGGCTGGTATTTGAATATTATGAAAATAAAGTTGTAATATTTGAAGATTAAATTCAGAAATTCACAAGGAAATATTTTCAGAAGAAGTCATAAATCTTTGAGAAATAAATTGTTAATATTTTTAATGAAAAGTCAGAATAATTAAAGAATAAAGTTTAAAAAAATTACAAGAAAAAAAATCTTATTTTGCAGGAGCTACAAACATAATATTATGAGAATGAATTTGTACTGACAAGAAACAAAGGTCTTAATATTTTCAGGAACAAAGGTGTGAAATTTTGACAAAGTTTTGATATTTTAAGAATAAAGTAAAAACAGATATTCACAAGAAAATAGTTGTAATAATTTCAATAAAAAGTCACAATAGTCTTAAAGCATTAAAATTTAAACTTTAAGTTATTATGATTGAGTTGTTATATTTCAAGGATGAAGTCAAATATTCATAAACACATTTCAGGAGAAAAGCCATAATATTTTGAGGAATAAGTCCCAAAAAAGAGACTAAAGTCAAAAATTCAACAAGAAATCTACCCAAGCTAAAAATGCAATGCTTTGGGAATAAATTTGTATTTTTGTCAAAAACACCTCGGAATATTTTGACAATAAAGTGGTAATATGTAATGTGAAGGTTCAAGTAAAAACAAAAGTTGTAATGTTTTTAGAAATATGTCATGATATTTTGAGGGAAAAGTCATAAAATGTTAAAAACACGTAATATTTTTTAAGGAAAAAGTCAAAATAATTAGAGAATTAAGTAAAAAATGCACAAGAAAAAAAAATCAAATTTTTCACAAATTAAAAATGTAATGTTATGAGAACAAAGCTGTACTGTCGAGAAAGAAGTCTCGATATTATGGAAAACAAAAGTCTTAATGATAAAGTGGTAATACGATGCATAAAGGCTAAAGTCAAAAATAGCTGCGATATTTCAAGGATAAAGTCGTAATAATTTGAGACGAAGGTCAAACCTTTTGAGGAAATGTAATAACATTTTGAGAACAAAATTATAATATTTTAGACTGAAGACAAAAATTAGGAAAAAGGTCATTAATATTTTGTGTAAAAGTAATAAAATTTGAAAAATACATTCAAAAATTCACAAGAAAAAATGTCCCAACATTTTCAGTAAAAAAGTAAATATAGTTTACGGAAAAGCCTTAAAATTTTGAGGAAATGTAATATTTTATGGGAAATGTTATATTTTGAGGAAAAGTCTTAAAGTTTTGATAGTTATGCTGCAATATTTTAAATTTAAAGTCAAATATTCATGCGCACTTTTTCAGAGAAAAGCTGTAATATTTTGACGAACAAATTAGAAACTACAGACAAAAATTCACAAGAAAAAAAAAAGTATTCTTCACAGGCTACAAATGTAATGTCATGAGAAAAAAAGTTGTATTTTTTAGAAAAAATATCATTAATTTTATAGGAAAAAAGAGAACTTTTGACAATAATGCTGTAATACGTAAAATGGAGATTAAAATAAATATTTGCATGGATAAAGTAATATTAGTTACAGAAAAATAAAATTGTAGTATTTGAAAAATACATTCAAAAATTCTCAAAATAAATCCCAATATTTTCAGGGGGAAAAAACAGAATATTTTAAGAAAAATTCATAAAACTTTAAGAATAAATTTGAAATATGTTGTGGATGAAATTCAAAATTCACAGGAATATTTTAAGAGAAAAGCCATAATTGAGACTAAAAATTAGCAAGACATAAAATCTGTAAAAATTGTAATATTTTCAGAACAAAGTCATAATATCATGACAGTAAGGTCAGAGTATTACAACTCATTGGTTACGGCTTTTTTAAAAAACCAAACTAAATTCTCATTAAAAACATTTAATTTACCAGTAAAACATAAACATCTGCCTTTATATCATTATCAGATATTCTAACTCTTAAATATCAACACCTCTGTCAGCTGAGCACACACACGCACGCGCGCGCGCGTGCACACACACACACACACACACACACACACTTAAAGTCAGCCCACCTGATCTCTCCATTGGCTCCTGTGGTCCCCTGTATGTGCGTGTTGGCGTGAGCCCTCATCTCTGCCTCCTGATTGGTCGAGTGGTCGCACACGCAGCAGTGCAGCGAGAAGGAGCTGTGCTCCCATTGGCGGTGCTCAGTCATGTGACTCTGGAAAAGGGTGCGCCCGTCCGTCTCAAAGCCGCACACATGACACCTGGAGGGGCAGGTGTAGGTGTGTGTTACAGTCGCCATGGTAACCATTATTTGAAATCTGTTCTACTGGTAATAAATACAACGACCTTGTTGTGCGCCGACGGCTGACGACACAGTCTTCACTGATCAGTAAACAAAACAGCTGCTGGCTGTGTCAGTCTCAACGTCTCACTCTGCTGATGAACTGTGCCTCTACGTAAACTACGAGCCCTGCAACACTGCACACATTTCTGTTGTGTCTGAGCTGCTGTTGTTTGTTTGTTTATGCTATTTAATTGCTTTGTTTACAATAACCACAGACAGGACAGAAACATTTTTAATGCTGCGCTGGTGGATAAAATGAAGTCACATTCAATATCTAGACGCATGGTATGTCAGTTCTGCTGCCAGAGATCCCTCGATCAAAACAATAACTGAAGACGGTCTTTGATGATGTCATGAAGTAGCATGGCATCATGGGAGTTGCTGTCTTCACTCGTAAACAACCACCCATGACAATCTATGTGTCATGATTTATGCAGGTATGTTCAGGGCTTAAAGTTTGAGTCACGTTACGTTGAGTCATGATTCTAACTAAACAGCTCCGAGTAGAGGTCTTTGGGCCAACGATAAAAGGCGTCCTTTAACGTTGTGTTAAGTCACACAGCAACACAATAACGTTGTTGTGACATCACCGGACACGTTGCAAAAGTATTAAGTAAGTACGTTTCCAGCAAACATTTTCAGTATGGTGCGTTTGGAACCAACAGTACCAGGTCTCTGTGCTAGGTACCCCAACAGAGGGGGGACCAAACATGGGGACGGTACGGAACGGTTCCATTGATACCATCCACAACTTTTCACAGTGGGAACAGAAAAAGCGTACTAAACTGAACCGTACTGCTCGGTGGAAAAGGAAAGGGGCTATTGATGGTTTAAGGGTTAAAGTCACAGTCTAAGAGACTCCAGGATCTTAACAAGGATCCTCTCAAGTACAGTTGTGGGTGTGTTACCTGTAGAAGTAAGGGCAACCTGTGGTCTGATCTCTGCTGAGGCTGGTTTTGGTTTCTGTAAGAACAAAAGAAAAGAGAGTGTTTTATTCTGCTGAGCGACTCATGAAATAAATCTTCTGCTGCCATATTTTTCCTTTCTTTCCTGTGTACTCCAAAATCTACTAATGATGCGTCCCTGTGGAAGTTATTATTGGTAGACTCCTCTGTGACTGTGGACTGTTTAGTCAATTCACTTCAGTATCATCTTTATTATAAACCCAAAGGGCAATCTGGTGGCAGCATAAATCCATAACACAGATAAAACACAGCACACTGAAAGACAATCATTAAAAAGCAATAATAATAACAATAAGGCTGCATTAAAAAACACTGCAGGCAAACTAGACAAACAAATTCCCCCAAAGTGTTTATTTAATAATGTCGGTGCAGTTTGTATGGAAGTGTTCGTGCTGGCTGAAACTCATCTGACGGAGCCTGAAGCAGCTACCTGAAGGAGGAAACTGAAATCAGATTAAAGACGGTGTTTTCCCCAACAGGATATTTAGGGGACAGCCAGCCCTGCTTGCTTTTTTATGATAAATACATATCTAGATATTAAGAAACAAACTTGACATTTTAGTTAACATAATGTCTCGTAATCATGTATCGTTCAAGTATTGTGTTCCTTGATTTTGTGGTGTTTGATTGAACAACATCTGACGAAAAAGCCAAAGCTGTCAAAAATAAGATCAAACACCATCCAAGGTGATGCAGAAACATCCAGCCCAGTCGCAAGAAGAAAATGCTGGCATTGTATGTTGCTGCAAACCACTGATACGTTACATTTGCACGTTTCATACGTATCATAACAACGTTTCTAAAGTGACGAAGAACATAAGCCGAGGGGACGGCGACCAACAAACAACAGAACCGGTCGTGTTTTCATCAATTTTTGCCAACAAATGTTGGTGTGTTTTTATCAACCCATAACCAAGTGGTTCTTGTTGCCTGACCTAACAAAAACAAAAACAAAAACACCACAGCATTGCTAAAATGTCAAATTTCAACATCAAATTTCAACGTATCCACTACATGATAACATGCAAATGTAGTGTTTAACATAAATGTCTTGAAACACAAGAGGCCTTTCCTTTTAGTCTGGCGCTACACTGACTTGTGAGCTTTAGCGCAGAATTTCAAAGCACTATTCATTTTATTTTCAGCCAGCTAGCCACACTAACACTGTGCCCACGTTCTGGTCTCCACCGGTTAGCTAACATTAGCCTTGGTTGCTTTACACTGCACACTACCCGGGGTCGGTTGGGAGCTAACTAGCGTAATGTTGTATTCACACTGGGTGTGAGTGAATTCCATGTAAAGTCAACGTGAAGATTCATTCATCCATTCATGCTTGGTGGTGCGATGCACGTGACGCGAATAAAGCGAAATACGCAAATTAAGTGTCGCGAATGAAGCCAGTAGCATGATTTTGCATCATCCGCTTATTCACAAGGGTTGAAAAATCGCCACAGATTTGCGCCACCATAGCCAATCAGCATTGAGATCCTCAGAGAATGTATGACGCTGAGGACGTACCGGCGACAGCTCATTCATTGATTCAGCAATTTCACGCACATATGACGCAATTATTCCCGCATATTAAGCAAGTCAACGCAAAATATTCAAGTGTTCAAACTCCGACCCATGAAGGTGGGATACCTTTGCTTTGATAACACTGCGTCAGCCCTCCATTCTCCCCCCACCTCACCCGCATGGGTAAGTGGCTTCATTTTTAGCCACAAAACCCCTTTCGCATTGTTAACTAAGGTTACCTTATGCTAACATACAGCTAACAACATAGTTAGTTGATGCTAAAGGGGTTTTACAGCTCAAAATTAAGATTAGAGGGTGTGCTCACTGTTTCCATGGTAACAGCATGCTACCTTTATGGGTCACGAAAGCGTTACCAGCATTGATTGCCAAATGACCAGCACCCCTAGCTACCTCCCACTTGACCCTGATGGTGCTCAGTGCAGAGTGGCCATAGCTGGCTAACCAGCGTAGCATGAATACCTCATTAGCTTTGCTCTTAATGTGTTACAGCATAGAGCTACTATTAAACTGAAGAGTAGCAAAATTAACCTGTAGACTGACATCCATGACCGGTCAAAACTATTCTCGATGCTTGACCGATTAACACTTAACTGTTAACTGCTGACATCCCCTCTGCAAACTAAACTGAGCGTGGCGTTAGTTCAGGCAGGACACGGTGTCAAGCTCAGCTCACATCCCAGCTACATCAGCTGATTTCAAAGAGCCCAATCACCTGATGGAGCAGCTGATTGATGGAAGGGAGTCAGCTGATAGATCACATGATTCCTTTCTTGGCGAATCCCATTCAGGGAGCCCTATCTAAACTGCTCTGGCCTGGCCCTTCTTCTGCAAGCTGCTTTGCAACCTGCCTCCACCTCAGCTCCTCCTTTTCATGCTGTGTCTGACTTATCAATGTCATTTCTGTTTGTCATTGATGCTGCTCTGTTCTGTTCCTGGGGTTCTTTGCTGCTGCTCTCCCTGCCTTAGGCTTTCCATGTAGGCGCATGGAAGGGCAGAGAGGTTTGCTCTCTCACCCTCTCTCACCACCCACATGCTGTGTTTGTTGTGCCGTCAAATTCATGCTGTCGTGCTGACCAGCACACACACATACCTGAGCACCTATTTTTTTTAAGGCGCGACGGGCTGCAGCCTGAGATAAACATTCAGTTCAACTTTTGGAACACAACAGCGCGCGCTGCATGTCATGCATTCTCGGAACCCATCGGCTGTATTCGGCGTCTGACTTCCGGCAGACGGCGATACAGCCTCTGGGGGCAGACCCCGGATTTTTTGGCATTCCGGTTTGATTTGGGCGGACCATGCTGAACCATTGCGATGGATTCAGAGTTTGTAGTGACGCCAATTATGTTCCGCCTCGTTAGTTCACCGCACGGACCGTTTAACCTGGCAACAACTGCAGCCGGCTCAAACGTGATTGGTCAATATCACACGGACTACAAACAGCCTACAAGCGGAAACCAGGGCTCTTCTGCTCTTCTTCCAGAGGCAAGATCTCCGGGGTTTGCCTACAGACTCTACATTCACTGAATGTGGAGTCTGTATATAGAGTCATGTGACGAGGACCAACCAGTCACAACTGACAGATACCTTTCCCTTCATCCATAAATACCAGTCTGTGCAGGGCTGCCAGAGCTTTACATCTGTGCCACGGATGATAGGCCTACACACTTGCAAACAGCGCCTGGAAGAAGATCAGCTCTGCACTCAGGATTTCAGGCAAACGGGCTATGATACGGTGCTTGTTAAGGTTGCTTAGCAACCTCAGACACGCCTGCCACCACGCTCTTGAAAGCTGGCACAGAAAAGGCAAAAAAGTAGCGTCCAGCGCCCGACCTTGTGTCTTCCAGGTGGTTAAAGACGCAGTATGTGAACAGCCCCTTAGGCTTTCAACGTAAGAATTCAGATGGGTGGAGAGGTGTCCATGTAGGCACATGGAAGGGCAGAGAGGTGTGCTCTTTTTGTCTTAGGCTTTCTGCGTAGGCCTAAGAAAGGCAGAGAGGCACCAGACAGAGCCATAGCACCAAATATAATACTGCAAATGGAAAGAAGTTTTCTTTGACTCAGGTGTTCCTGACTGAGCTAAAGTCATTATTAAATGTAGTGCAGTTAAAAGTAAAATATTTGCCTCTGATATGGAGGAGAAGTATAACGTAGTGGTGAATGAAAACACACTCAAGTACTTCAACTTGGACTACAGCACAGGACTTGAGTAAATGTACTTAGTTACTTTCCCCCACTGGGATTTAACACTACCCCCAAATAAAATTAATCATTGATTGTTAATGTAAATGATGGGTTATTGATCGTATACTAACTGAGTGCACCCTGATGAAGTTTAATGCTGAAGTTATCTTGTTTTAAAAAGGCAGCTCTTCAAACAGCAGCATGACATCATATCCTGCTACTCATGGTTAACGTAATGCTTTAATCCCTCCACTCTGACTGACCGTGTCATTCTTCATTACCGCACATTACGCTAAGGTTGGCAAGCAAACACGTCAATGCTAACCACTGACTCAGAGGATGATTGAAAAACACACTCCCATGGGACGGTGATCAACATTCAAAGATCTACGCCTCCTCAAGCAAAACACGAGCAGCCTCCTCTCGCTCTGTATCATCATCATCATCTGAGCACTGTGATGGTGTCGGAGTAAATGTGCAACATCTACTGCAACTCTGTGTGTGTGTGTGTGTGTGTGTGTGTGTGAGCAGTATATTACCATGTGGAGGCTGCTGGGGGCTCAGAAGAGGGGAGGAGCGGAGTGGGTCCACATTCACCTTCAAAACAGGACTGTAGAAAAGGGCAACACACACACACACACACACACACACACAAATAAGGTGCTTCTCAAAGTCAAGGAGGATTCTGAAACGACCGCATTTCAAAGATGTTACGACACTGAAACCTGCTGACGGACTGTGCCGATATCCAGGATCTTATGAATTCTACCAAGGACCAGAGAGTTTATCCTCAGCGCTCTTAAAGCACCCGCAGTCCTACACAAACGATGCATCGGTGCTGTCCCCGGATTTAGAAACAAGGAGAATAAGATCGTAAACTTTCAGTCATGTCACTTCGGCAGACCACAAGAATCTGTGTCTGAACACGTATGGACAATGGAAATGGACAATCCCAGTCCAGCCGGCTGTGGGAAATGTTGGCATCGTACATTCTGCAAACCGATAATATGTTACATTTGCACGTTTCATACGAATTATATCGGCGTTTCTAAAGTGGAAGTATATGCGCTGACTTTGTCATCTAGAGGTGGAGGGGATGGCGGATGGCAGTGTCACCTGGTAGAGATGCACGCCAAGCTGCAGACACACAACAAAACCTGTTGTGTTTTAGCAAGCTTTGGTTTCTAGCCACCAAATGTGAGTGTTTTTTTAGCTACCCATGGCTGTGTTTCCTGCCTGGATAGTGCCATGAAAAACAGTTGCTTTTTACAGAGTCATTGCTGCATCCCCGGCAGTTTTTCAGTCCCATGACATGAATCGTTTCCAAACCATAACCAAGTGGTTTTCGTGCCTGAACCTAACCACATGGCGCTGTGCTGCTGCCAGAGGAGCCGCTGACTGAGTTCCCTCTGAGCGGTGAGTCGCTAAAAGAGTCTGAGAAGTCCGGGGCTGTTAACAAAACATTCAGGACGCCACAGTTTATTCCACACTACTGAAGCTGCTCCTCTTTTTGGAGCCACCACGAGTCGCTAATCACTTAAGGCCCGTTTCCACCGCAGGAACTTTGGAACTTAATTTTACGAGGCTGGGGCCTTTGGTGCGTGTCTCCGGACAGAGTTCTGGAACTTTTACAGGGGCTAAACAAGTCCCTGCCTCGGAGTAGGTACTCAGAACGGCCCCGAAAAACTCCTGGGTGGGGCTTGGGGATTACTTGGTGCCAATTGGGTATACTCAAGGCGGGATGTGACGTCAACAGAAAGCGACAAAATAGCCGGCATTTTTAAAACTCAGCAGACTCTCTTTCATAGCTTCCACCGCCATGTAAACGAAGAGACACGCCAGAAACCCAGCAACCACCTCAGCTCTTTTCATGTTGATAATCGTCTTTCTTATGTCTGCTTTATTCTTCGTACTTGTGCTTCTTCTTCTTTGTTTGTTTCTTTGCCGCGTCGCCCCGGGTCAAAATGGTCGCGCAACGATTACATCACATCCAGAGCCCGGTAACTTTACAGGAACCCTCCTCCTACTCCGCCCTCTCAGTGGAGACATGGCAGTTGAGAGGGCCAAGCGAGAGGATGTTCCTGTAAAGTTCCTTTCCCCCAAATAGTCAACGAGTCCAAATATTGCGTGTGTCACAATATACATTTTTCATATGGTATTAAAAAATACACTGGTATTGTTATGAACGAGATGACATGGGAGTTATCTTACATGTAGTCTGTTGACTATGTGTTAGCCAGCTAGCTAAGCTTGTTTCATGTATGAACCAATAAGATTTTTGTTTGTAGGGCATTCCATTGGCTAAACCGGTCATTGATGATTTCCACAACTTCAAAAGAATCCATCGTACGGCTAGGGGAAAAGATCAGTACAGCACAGTATCGCGATATTTTTGTGTGGTAATACCGTATCGTCACACAGCGGCAAGAATTGATTTTGTTATTATACAAATTATCAACATTAAGTTCGCCTACTAGAAAAAGAGAATCAATAGTTTTTTAGTCCACGAAATACGTTTTTTTGGCTGGAAAAAAAATGGCTGAAGTGGGGACGTAATTACAGCTGAAAAAAGTGATAAAACACAATATATTTTATCGTAATACTCAGCATATCACAACATATTTAAAATCGCACAAATATTGTATCGTGACTTAAGTATCGTGATAATATTGTATCGTAGATCTACTGGTGATTCCCAGCCCTACCTCATCGGAGCCCCCAATGACACCAAGTTCGGATGCGACAACGTCACAGGTTGTCCCATCTCTGTGTTCCGCAGAGGCATGGCTATCGAAAACTAATATAGGTATGGCGATACGGTGATTTAATTCGGTCTAACTTTCGCAATTACATGCTTCTTGTAATTATAACAGCAACTTTTTTTTTTTTTAATTCTTTTTTCAGCCAAAGAGGGCAAATAGGTTGTTGCTTGGACAACTTTAGTCCAGCCTTGTGCACTTCCTTGCTACCAAAGGAGGCGTCCTTGACTTTGAGAATCACTCATATTGTCAAAACAAAGCAGGTCAGAGGTCAAAGGTGTCCACATGACATCACTGATTGGTGACTGTGGGTGTAATGTTACCTGCTTCTGATGGGCGGGGTCGTCCTCTCCACCAGACGACTGTTGGATTTACTGACTCTCTCTGCAGAGACACAGATCAGAGTTCATCAACTGCAACCGCAGCTCAGAGAAGTCATAAATGTAGTGGATTAAAAAGTAACGTGAAATGGGAATATTCAAGTAGGGCGCAAAAATAAATATATATACTGAGATGTAAACAGGTTGTAAATTGTATGTACAGTATCATTAAGTATTAGCACAACTAATTTAAGGCAAAAATTGTCTTTGAGTTCTTTTAACGGAGCAGTAACAGTTTTAGTCCCTGTAAATTTAAATTTATTCTGCGTATGAATCTGTTAGGGAATAATGTTACACCTCCTGGACAGAGACCAGATTGTGGGAACTGACTTTGGAGTGTGCGATCATGTGACAGTGTTTTTACCTGAGAGCTGGTGCAGCAGCGTGGACGCCAGGTTCACCGACATGTCCTGCCACAGCACGGCTCTGAGGCACTGGTCCTCCATCTTGGCTCCAAAGAACAGCTGCTCCTCCGTCTTTGCTCCTGAGAAAACGTGGTCCGCCATCTTGGCCCCGGGAAGAAGCCGGTTCTCCATTTTGGTTCCAAAGAGAAGCTGGTTCTCCATCTTGGCTCCTGGAGGAAACTGGTCCTCCATCTTGACCCCAGAGAGGAACTTGTTGCTCATTTTGGCAGCAGAGAAGGGCCGCTCTGCAAGTTTTGCTTTAAAGAGAAGCTGGTCCTCCAACTTGGCTCCAGATAGAAGCCGGTCCTCCATCTTGGCTCCAGAGGGGCCATGATCCTGCAGTTTCACTCTGAACTGAAACTTGTTGGCTCCAGAAACGACGCTGTCTGCAGTCTTAGAGCCAGGCTGGCAGCCTCCAGTGTAAAACGTGTCTTCTATTTTAAGGCCATGGAGACACTGGTCGGCCATTTTGGCTCCAGGGTGCAGCTGCTCCGCCACCTGGTCTTCTGTTTTAATGCTGAAGAGGTGGTGGCTCGCCATCTCAGGGGGAGGTGGGGTTATCTCTTTTGGGACTGCTCGATTGTGGATGATGTCAGAGGCAACCAATGAGTCGACCTCCATGGGCTCTTCTTCTTCTTTGACCCTCACCACATGGCTGCTCACTTCCTGCCGCTCTGTGATTGGTGGAAAATCTGTCAGTGTTTTTATTCACCTGCTATCAGACATGTCGACTGTTAGAAACGTTTTCAGCTTCATATCATGATTGATTTTTCTTTGAATTTTGGGCTGTAGGGTGAACATATCAACAATCTGAAGACGTCACCTGGTGCTCTGGGAACACGGTGATGGACCTACTATTTTACTATCTTATAAACTAAACGATTAATCAATCACTACAACGAAGAATCAACAGATTAATCAATAGTGAAAATAACTGGTAGTTGCAGCGCCAGTTAGAAAATCACAACAGTTTGGTGGCCGAGCTTTAAATGCTGGCACAGTAATGACCTTTAACCTTCGGAACATATCAGCAGACAAACTACTTTGAATGCAACATTGCTGAAGGAGTTTATCAGAGTGGACATTATAAATAAAATACTCCTGATAAAGTCTATTATAAAGTCAAACTATGGGAAATGAAAAATTAACTGAGAAAGTGTTTTTGGTTAATCCAGCAATTTGTACATCTATTATATTTATAAAAAAAAAATATTGAATCAAGGAACTGACTGCAGCGTGACCTGAAATGGCGGAAAACAACCAGAGATATTAAAGGAACAGCTTCCATATGACACAGTCATCATGTTACAGTATAAACTGTACAAACTATCATCACTAATATTGTTTTAAATAAAGTTTGTTAAATCAGCTTGTTACCAAAAAGATGAGTATATTTGTTTAAATCAAACTAACCAATCTATCAAAATTAAAACATGTTTTCAGGTACGTAGATAAATAGCTGAAAACGTCTTGTGAGGAGAGCTTGATGGACTGGAGTTATGATGGCGTATTAGGCCCATTGTGGGTAATGGAAACAAACAAAGGATCCGGGGGAGGGGAGGAAATACGGAGAAAAAAAATCTGGGATTAAAGTCATAAATTTACGAGAAAAAAACTTTGACATTATCTGAGATTATAAAGTTATAGAGTCATAAATCTCTGACAAAAATATTGCACAAATTTCTGGAAAAAAAAAAACTTGAATTCTCTGAGATAATGAAGTCATACATTTTAGAGAAAAAAAACTCAGATGTTCTGTGAGAATAAGAGTGTATAATGACCAAAAACCCCCACAAATTTACAAAAAAAAGGGGGTTTTCTTTGAGATTATAAACTCATAAATTCATGACAAAAATTGCACAAATTTCTGAAAAAAACCCCAACAACCTTGAATTCTCTGAGATTAAAGTCAAAAAGTTGAGAGAAAAAACTTGGATATTCTCTGAAAATAAAGTGGTTAATTTACAAGAAAAAAATACAAGAACAAAAAAGTTTTTCTTTGAGATTACGAACTCATACATTTATGACAGAATTTGCATAAATTTCTGAAAAAAATATTCTCCGAGATTAAAGTCAAAAATTTGAGAGATAAAACTTGGATGTTCTCTGAAAATAAATTGGTTAATTAATTAATTAATAAATTTGGGACAACAAATTACAAAAATTTCTGAAAACAAATAAAAAAAAATCTCTGAGATTAAAGTCAAAAATTTGAGAGAAAATTCTTAGATGTCCTCTTTGAGTACAGTGGTAAATTTACTAGAAAAAAATTTAAATATATATTAAAAAAATTTCTCTAAGAATATAAAGTCATACATTTACGGGGGTAATTAACCGGAATTCTGTGAAATTAAAGTCATACATTTTTGAGAGAAAAAAAAATGAAATTCTTGTTTTGTTTGTGAAAGAACCACATCGCTTCACTTTGCATTGGATCAACCTCATCACACCACAGACGCCACCATGTATTATTCCTGCCTCCAATTACCTAATCAAATTATTGAGAATATCCAAGTTTGTTTCTCATAAATACACAAATTTAATCTTGGAAATGTGCGTGTTTTCTCTGAGAGATACTCCCCTCCCCTGAGACTCTGTTGTACTGGACAAGAGCTGTGTGTCATGTTTTAATTTTGAAGGACTTGCACTGAGGCTCACACCAGTCTGCAGCTCGCTGTGGGAGCACTCTCAAAGTAAGTAAATATTTTTCATTCCCAGTAAACTGACCAAGAGTGCCACCAACAACACACACACACACACACACACACACACACAGCTGTACCTGCCAGTTTCCTCAGCAGGTCTGAAGCCAGTGTGTCTGTGGCAGTGTTGCCATCGGGTGTGTGTGAGAGTGACGGCGGCTCGGGACTCGCCCCGGGGCCGTCAGGTGACAGAGCGAGGCCGGGCTCGTCCTGCTGCCCACCGCGCACCTCCGCCTCTGCCTGCCTCCCAGGATGCAACTGGGCCTTCTGGGTCGCCTCTGAGGAGAGAGAAGAAGAAGAGTTAACTGTAAGCAGATTACAGCGGAGGTCACATTACAGCCTGATGACTGCTCTCAACTCAGTAGTGCAGTTCAGTACTTGAGTCAATGTATTTAGTTACTTTTCATCACTGGACACCTGCTATAACAGCCTCCTTTCTTCAGGGTTCAGGCTTTCTATCACATTTTGGAACCTGCTGCAGGGATCTGCTCCCATTACGAGCATTAATGAGGTCCAACAACGAGTAATGAGGCTGACTTTAATCTCATATCAGAGTAAAGACAGCATTCACATCAACATCTGAGTCATAATACAACTGGGAAACCTTTTCTGAAAGCTCTGATATAAGTGACTCGGAGTTTAAAGTCAGTCGCTGAAGGTGATTAAATCCAGCTTTATTTAATGTGGTGCTATATTTTCATGTCAAAGTATATTTGACCCTCACACATCTAACTCTGCAATCAGGCGGAGTCTTGAGTTCATCAGTAATGTTGTAAACGAGGGAATCTTTCCCATCTCAGTCAGCCATCACACATGATGTGAACGTGGCTGTTCCAGCTCATCCCAAACGTGTTGGTTGAGGTTGAGGTCAGGGCACCGTGTCGGGGTTTTCACATGCCAAACTGAGAAATCATTTCTTTATGCAGCGGGCTTTGTGCATGTTGAAACAGAGTTTTCTTCAAACTGTTCCCACGAAGCACACGATTATCTCAGGATACTGTCAGACCTAGAGTCATCTCCTCTGGTCTGAATCAGGGACTCATGTTGTCACAAAGTTGTATAATTGCCTAGAGTTGGTTCATGTTCTCACGGCAGCATTTACAAGAGGACCAGATCAAATGCCTTGTGAGAGAAAGCTGCTCTTGATTGGTCAGAATTTCCATGTGGGAAAAATCCAGGAAGTAAAGCAAACGTTCGGATCCAGGTCGGAACACGACCGCATCAGAGTTCATCTGTATCCGGACTGAGACCACCGCTTCAAGAAGGTCTCTGTGATTGCGGTGTTCACGAACAAACCGCACTTAGGGGGGAAAGGAACTTGAGTTCAACTGAACCGAAACCAAACAGGGCAGGCGTGAAAGCACCCTAAAATATGATTGTTGTAACATTAAAACATTGGTTCCCTTGTCAAAAAGCCAATGGGATGTTTCCATTGAATTTTGGATTACTGCGGAAAATAAGCTCTGCGGCGAACAAAAGTTTATAATACATACACGTTTTGTTCAGCAAGATAATCCTCACAAATGAAGAAGGAGGAGAAGAAGATATACTTTATTTATCCCAGAGGGGGAAATAATATTTTTCCGCCATGTTGTCGTATACACACAATCCCGAAATACACACACATGCACTAACAGGACCTTGCATGTATTAAATGTAGAGACGTAAGGGTGGGGAGCTGCCTTGGACGGGTGCCTTGAGCAATATGGGGTCCAGTGCCTTACTCAAGGGCACCTTGGCAGCGCCCCTGAGGCGAGCTGGCACCTCTCCAGCAACCAGTCCACGCTCCATGCTTGGTCCGTGTGGGGACTTGAGCCGGTAACCCTCTGGTTCCCAAGCCAGGTCCCTAAGGACTGAACCACTGCCGTCCTAATGAACACCACTTTTATAATTTTTGAAATGTAAATTAAATCACAAGAAGTAAAAAGCTAACGTTAGACTATGAATGAACTACACCACTGTCACATGACTTGAACACCACAAGCACAACGAGCCTGTAAAGCCATGTTGGGCGTAATGACGCTCTGTGGTCTCATTTAGCCATTTATTGTTAGCAACTGCCATTTGTAAGACACGTAAAAGCTTCAAAACGTGAACAAAACGTTAAAGTCTTTTCAGCTTGTGTCAACCACAGACATTATTTCAACATTTGAAAGAACCTATTGATTTCAAAACGAGGGAACCAGATGTACAAAATGCTAACTAATTTCCAGGTTTTAGGACTTTGTACACCCACCATTCCATGGAGGTACGTTTTATACAGAACGTCGAGGCGGAGTAACAGCGCAAATACAGATGCTTTTTTGTCGTTGTTGTTCATTTTCTTTTTGTTGTTATTTATTCCATCATTTGTGCCGGGAAACAAAAAAAATCTTCCTTATAAAAATATGACTGAACTGTTCTAAAGTAATTAAGCCCTTTATTACACGATCTTTGAATAAGCACAAATTCAGTCATTTAGAAAACAACCTTAATCATTACACTCTTTCACATGAAAAACATTTTCGGTGAAAAAAATATATGCTTCAAAAATCTTTTTATGCCTCCACGCTGGTGACAGCCGAAACCATGGGCACTGGTTAGGTTTTCAGGCTGTCTGTTCATGTGTCCTATTCTTGTGAACGCGATATCTCACGAACACCTTGAGGGAACTTCTTCAAATTTGGCACAAACGTCCACTTGGACTGAAGCATAAAATGACTAGAATTTGGTGGTTGAAGGTCAAAGGTAAAGGTCAGTGTGACCTCACAAACACATTTTAATCCATACCTCATAACTTCATTCACTTATTATGACAAACTTTTACTAACTAACAGAATAAAATGATGAAGTAATGACATTTTATATCCAAAAGGTCAAAGGTCAACTTCACTGTGACGTCATCGTTTTCAGACATGGATGTAAAGTGTAAGAGAAACTTGACTGGTGCGCAGAGACATACAACCACAAAGCGGTAATTCTGGTTTATAGGGTGCGTCCCTGACACGTCAACAGTGAGTTGACTGCGAGCTTTTGTCCCAATAGTGTCCCGGGGAAGATCTGTGTTTATCCCACACTCGTTTTCTATTGTCCCTGTCACAACAAGACACCATAAGTCCGGAGCCCTGCTTTTTAGCCTTTGCAAAAGTGACGTGACACAATAGAAAAACATCGGCCACTGCCACCTGTGAATGTCATCCTATTTGCCAACAGGCCGATGGCAAGCAACAAGGCAAATATCGCCCGATGAGCAGCTGATAAATTAGTGCATCCCTTTTTCTTATGCTACCACATTGTCATACTGCTTATTACTAATGCAGTACAAGTTGGATTTAGTGCTGTGACCACTTCACCAACAACCCCGTCTCACTCTGAAGGCATCAAAATCTGGCACTTGGACAGTGACTTGCGGCGTCAGAAACCAACAAAAAGGCGTCCTTTAACGTCAGCATGATACCCTGCGCATTGCCGCTATAGTTTAAACAGCGCTGGGCGGCGTCAGGGGGAAACGTGGCTGGACAAGAACGAAAGTTAAGGCAGCGAAAGTTAGGGTACGGCAGGCGGGATTGGTGGTGGATGGGTCCAACAAACACCAACCTTCACTCCAGAGAGCGGTGGTTAAATTTAAAACTGTACAGACCTCTTTAATACCACTTTAAATGAAATTTAAAACCAAACTTGCAATGGAAATACACGCCAAGAGCGAAATAATACTCTTTGATGTCAGTTCAAAATGAACAGTAAAAATGACCCTGACGATAGCTCTGCATGTGCGATTCCACCGCCCTGATTCCCATTTTACCACGTTTCAAACACCTTCGACATACGGCGCAGTTTGCTTTGTAAATATGTCCGCGCATTTGCATTATCCCACTTTTTATAGCTTGCAAGGTCCTAGTTTGACGATGCAGACTCATTACTTGATCTAATTGTGTTGAGGGGGCAAAAATAGGGGCATGGTGAACATACAGGTGTGGTGTCTAAGTCTGGTACCCCAACAAATGGTGTTTCCCTCCTGTTAAAATTATGTTTCCTAAAGCACAAACACCAAAAATGATATCATTTTCCGTAACCGCTTATCCTGTTGGGGGTCGCTGTGGGCTATCAGGGGGGTTCACCCTGGACTAGGGCTGCCACTAACGATTATTTTCATTGTCGACTAATCTGTTGATTATTTCTTCGATTAGTCGACTAATCATTTCATCGAAAAATGTCTTAAAATGTTGAAAAATGTCGGTCTGTCTCGCCCAAACCCCAAAATTACGTCATGTCTTGTTTCATATTCACGCCAAAAGGTTTTAGTTCACTGTCTCGGGAGAGTGTGTAAAGCTGCCAATATCTGAATGTAAGAAGCTGCAGTAAGAGTATTTTTGGGTACTTTTATAGTACTTTTCTATGAAAAATGACTCAAACCAATTAGTCGACTACTAAAATAGTCACCGATTATTTTTATAGTCGATTAGTCATCGATTAGTCAACTAATCGTGGCAGCCCTACCCTGGACAGGTCACCAGACTATCACAGGGCTGACACATAGAGACAGACAACCATTCACACTCACATTCACACCTACGGACAATTTAGAGTCACCAGTTAACCTGCATGTCTTTGGACTGTGGGAGGAAGCTGGAGCACCTGGAGGAAACCCACGCTAACACAGGGAGAACATGCAAACTCCACACAGAAGGGCCCCCCAGAGAGGGTTTAAACCAGGAACCCTCTTGCTGTGAGGCGATAGTGCTAACCATCGCCCCCGATTCAGGGCTTGTTATTAGTAAATGTATATTTAAGACTTTTTTAGGACCCGCGTCCACTCTGATAAAATCAAACTCATACATCGGACCAGACCAGAAACACAGGAACTCTAATTATCTGGTTAATTCATTAAATGTTCAGTCCTTAAAATGTCAGAATATGAGTGAATTACTGCGTCTGAGAAGACGACAACACGTCATATTTTTCCTGGATCAGTGACTTAAATTATTAATCAATTATCAAAATTGTGATTGATTAATTTTCTGTCAATTTACTGATTAATTAATGAACTGCAGTACGGTACAACAAGTGTGCAAACTGTGTGTGTGTATGCAGGAGTAAATGTATTTGTGTACATGTCTCTGTGTGTAAGCATGTGTCCGTGAATATAATGTGTGTGTGTGTGTGTGTGTGTGTGTGTTACCTGACAGCCTGATGAGGAGGTCGGACGCCATCTTGGTGCTGACATCAGGGCTGAAGAGAGAGGTGGCTGCTGGGAAGGGACTCGAACCCGTGGCGTGTGCATCTGGTGTGTGTTCGGCGCGCATGTCAGGCACGCTCAGCGAGCGAGCATCATCGCTGGTGTGTGTCTTTGTGTGTGTGTTTGCAGGGTGTGTGTGTCGTTTGGCTGCATCAGAGGGAGGCTGCAACACACTCGACCCACGCTTCATTTTCCGGGGTGTGTGTGTGTGTGTGTGTGTGTGTGTGTGTGCGTGTGTGTGTTTGTAAAAAAAAAGAAAAAAAAAAGAGAGGGAGTCAAAACTCAGAAGAGAGGAGGGCAAGAGAGAAGGAAGAGGAGGAAGAAGAGGAGGAGGAAGGCAGCGTTGCTAAAATAAGACGACTGTGTTTTTGAACATATGGAAGTGAGGAGAGCATGATAGAGAAGAGAAGGAGAGATCGAGGTAGAGGAGGAACCGGAGACAGAGAGGAAAAAACGAGGGAGGTTTCTCTGTTGCTGGCTCTCATTGACCTGAAAGAGAGAGAAAGAGACGGATGGAGGGAAGAGGTGAAAGAGGGGAGAGGGAGGAGAGGAGATGGATTGAGTGAAGAGGAGGAGGAGGAGGAAAGAGACAGCAGGGATGAAGGGCAAAAGAGGACAGAGGAGAATAGAGACATAGAGATAAAGGGAAGAAGGGATGGAGAGGAGGAGAAGAAAAGGAATATGAACAAAGTGAATCTGTGAATGAATAAATTATTGAATGGATAAGGCCCAATAATAAGGGGATAAATCATTCCTGTTATCACCATGGCAACGGACCCCGCTGTGTCGTCTCCTGCCCTGACCTTCCCTCTGACAAACAATCATCAGTTATGATCAATAATCATCAATAAGCACTTCCACCTGCCACCAGCTGTTACAGTCCTGATCCCTTATTTGCCCTTATATAATTTGCCCAAATATAATAGTTAGGAGCCATCCTGTGTAATAAAATAAATACAATTTAAATGTAAAAAAAATAAATAAATCCTACTGTGGTACTGCATAAAAATAACAGACACCTACATAGTAAACAAAAGGCAAATAATAAAATTATTTATGTATACTTTATGTTTTCAGTGAAGCAGGTTGAGATTATAGAATATAAAAGAAAAATTAAATTAAATTAAATATGTATTCTGATTCTTATCCATGAATTTAAACATTTAAGCTTTGTATTGTTGCACTGGGACAATAAAATATTCAGACAAACAGAAAAAAAAAAAAATCATTCAAATTAAAATAAAATAGTTTTAAAATAAAATCTTTATCGCAAAAAAAAAATAAAAATGGCAACAAATAAAAAATTAAAATATACTTGATAAAGCCCCAATTCATTGAAAAAATAAAAACTATTCAATCAGACAAAAATAAATAAATAAAAAATATTTTTCAAATTAAAATAAAATATGTAAGTATCAAAACAAATTCCTTTCACAATAAAATAAAAAATTAAAATATCTTTAATTAAGCCTCAAATTCATCGGAAAAAAAAATCAATCAGACAAAAAGAAAAATATAAAAAATTTAAAATTATCATTCAAATTAAAATAAAATATGTAAGTATTAAAATAAACTCTTCTCACAAATTAAATAAAAATGGCAATACAATAAATTATATTTAATAAAGTAGAAAATTCATCGAAAAATATAAAAAAAAAGATATTTAATTATAAAAAAATAACTTTTATTTATTTACTTTTGAAAAATAAAACTCAAAAATAAAACAACTATAAATGAAAAGATTTAACGTTACCGACAGCCCGTTCATCGCCTCGGTTCACTCACTAACGTTACCCTCGTCGACCCCGTTTCGTTCAGCCTCCTGCCTCCGTCTCTAGGCGACACAGTACGGGCTGCCGCCACCGCATCCGCATCCGCCAGGGGAGCGAAAATGACCGGGCACCAGTTTTCTCCATAACCCCCTCCCCTCCTCCCCTCGGTGTCGGTCGGTCGGTGTCAAAACCCCCGGAGCCCCGCCGTTAGCTAGTTATCTCTCCCTCCCCCTGCAACATGGCTGAACGGCACTCAGACTCCCCGACACACCGAGTCAGAAAGTCATTTCCCGGTGTGGGATGGCGGGAGACTATCACCTACCGCTCAACCGCCAATTTAGACGTTTTTCACGGATTTTTTTGCGGTTACCGGGAACGAGGGCAGGTGTCAAGAGCCCAGCCGTTACCCCCACCTCCTTGTCCCCCCCTTCCTCCCTCCCTCTCCTCTCGGTCTCCTGCAACATGGCTGAACGGTAACCCGACCTCACAAGACCTCAAAAGTCATTTTCACGGGTCAGCTAGCATCGATAACCGGCCGCCGCGAGCACCAACCCGCCCCGGGACTGACAGGTCTCTCACAGCTCATCTTTTCCTCCGTGACTTACCGGTACCGGGAGGGCAGGTGGTGGCGGCGGCGGAGGTGGTGGTGGTGCAGTCCGGGGCATAGCCTATATATAGACTATAGATTTCTTCCATGTTGAATTCCCTCCTTTTCTTCTTCTTCTTTTGTCACATTCTCCTCCCGGTCTGTCCTCCCGTTCTCACGGTGCGGAGACAAACGGCGGGGAGATGATCCGTTTCTTTCCCCGAGCCCGAGGATGACGGGTCGGTCACCGAGCAGGGCAGATGGAGGTTTCCGCCTCCTCTCCCTCTCTCTTTCTCTCTCTATGTGTGTGTGTGTGTGTGTGTGTGTGTCACAGAGAAATGCAGTGTGTGTCTGTGTCCACGCGCCAGATCATAGCACAAGGGCAGGACACGCGTGAACCCGTGCGCACGCGCCCAAACCCGCACAGTAACACAAACAAGAAGTACATTTACATTTTAGCACAAACACACTCAGTTTAACAGTTTGTACATGTCAGGAGGGACCAGTAGAAACACGAGGACAGACAGTAGAAACACGAGGACAGACAGTAGAAACATGAGGACAGACAGTAGAAACATGGGGACAGACAGAGGAAACATGGGGACAGCCAGTAGAAACATGGGGACAGTCAGTAGAAACACGAGGACAGACAGTAGAAACATGAGGACAGACAGTAGAAACACGAGGACAGACAGTAGAAACATGGGGACAGACAGAGGAAACATGGGGACAGCCAGTAGAAACATGGGGACAGTCAGTAGAAACACGAGGACAGACAGTAGAAACATGAGGACAGACAGTAGAAACACGAGGACAGACAGTAGAAACATGGGGACAGACAGAGGAAACATGGGGACAGCCAGTAGAAACATGGGGACAGACAGTAGAAACATGAGGACAGTCAGTAGAAACATGAGGACAGACAGAGGAAACAAGGGGACAGACAGTAGAAACATGAGGACAGTCAGTAGAAGCATGAGGACAGTCAGTCGAAACATGAGGACAGTCAGTAGAAACATGAGGACAGTCAGTAGAAGCATGAGGACAGCCAGTAGAAGCATGAGGACAGTCAGTAGAAACATGAGGACAGTCAGTAGAAACACGAGGACAGTCAGTAGAAACATGGGGACAGTCAGTAGAAACATGAGGACAGTCAGTAGAAACATGGGGACAGACAGTAGAAACATGAGGACAGACAGTAGAAACATGAGGACAGTCAGTAGAAACACGGGGACAGACAGTAGAAACACGAGGACAGACAGTAGAAACATGGGGACAGACAGTAGAAACATGAGGACAGACAGTAGAAACATGGGGACAGTCAGTAGAAACACGAGGACAGACAGTAGAAACACGAGGACAGACAGTAGAAACATGGGGACAGACAGTAGAAACATGGGGACAGACAGAGGAAACATGGAGACAGTCAGTAGAAGCATGAGGACAGACAGTAGAAACACAAGGACAGACAGAGGAAACATGGGGACAGATAGTAGAAACACGAGGACAGACAGTAGAAACCTGGGGACAGTCAGTAGAAACACGAGTACAGACAGTAGAAACACGAGGACAGACAGTAGAAACATGGGGACAGACAGTAGAACCATGAGGACAGACAGAGGAAACATGGGGACAGCCAGTAGAAACATGGGGACAGACAGAGGAAACATGGGGACAGACAGTAGAAACATGGGGACAGACAGAGGAAACATGGGGACAGACAGTAGAAACATGGGGACAGACAGTAGAAACATGGGGACAGACAGAGGAAACATGGGGACAGCCAGTAGAAACATGGGGACAGACAGAGGAAACAAGGGGACAGCCAGTAGCAACATGAGGACAGTCAGTAGAAGCATGAGGACAGTCAGTCGAAACATGAGGACAGTCAATAGAAACATGGGGACAGACAGTAGAAGCATGAGGACAGTCAGTAGAAATATGAGGACAGTCAGTAGAAGCATGAGGACAGACAGTAGAAACATGAGGACAGACAGTAGAAACATGGGGACAGACAGTAGAA